TAATATTTCATGTCGATCTACAGAGACAACTATATTGATCTTTTAAGCATCTGCTAAACAAGACAAGGAATAAATTAGATTTTGGTCAGTTTGATTTGGCTGGTGAGTTAAATAGCTTTTAGAGCATTATCACCTTTTAAAATGTTTTGTTTCCAGTTGAATAAAGTAGATTTTAAAGGCAGTATTTCATGTCGTTTCTCATTGCTCTTCATCTTGCCTGTTTCATTTCAGCTGTGTTTGTGTGTGTTATGAGGGATGCAGGAACACAAAGAGGGGATGTTTGCACTGGCTGCTTTATGCACCCATGGTTAGACCTTCTGAAGGCACAGTGGAAGGGCCCTACTTGTCCCTGTTGCCTGCATTTTGGACACTGGTTCCCACTATTAAACTAATATTTCTTTACATCACAGCTGCATGCCTAGAAAATTCTCTGCAAAGCTGGACCATGAATGCGGTCTGATTCAGGGGAAAACCTACTTTACCCCCAGGCTCCTTATCCCAGAGGACCTATTTTAACATCTTGTATGCAAGTTTACTTTTTACCAGCTTTGGGGTAATAAGTGCAGAAAATGGATTTCCTTGCAGAAAGAGGAAAAATAACTTATCCATTCAGATGTTTACAGAAAAACAAGCTACTGCAAGTGGTTAACAAGGCTTTACAAAGGTCCTTTGATACTGAAGTAATTTCATAACAGGTTTGTGATGATTGAAAGTTGCCAAACTCTGTGCTCAGGACACGCAGCACGTGTAGAGCTGATCTAAAATAGACATTTTTATTAAGAAGCTGAGTAGGCAGCCTTGGCACAGAGCCATGGGGTTAGAATGTTAGCTCAAGAATAGGTCATGCAGCTTACCCTATAGAAAGACCCATGAAACATTTGGTACTTTGACTAAACTCAAGTGTAAATTACTGCATTTAGTGTCTCCATGAAAACAGTACTCTCTAGCCTGCAAGTATACAAATACTTTTCTGGTATAGAGCTAACTTTTAAATTATTTTGTAGTAAACGAAATATTCCAACTCAGTATAACCCTAAATAAGTCTGTTTCAGGTTAGATATATTTATAAGTACATATGGGAGTAATGGAATCATACTTTGTTTAGTCCCTTGCATTTGTGGAATTTCTTTGATTGTTTAACTATAGTTTGCTGTATCCAGTTTGGAACAGATGTAATAGCTGTGAAAACTTCATTTCTGTGGCACAAAACAATTAAAAGTTGTCAGTTATCAGCGATCTGGGGAGGTCTGGGGGCTCCCAGAAATGTTACATCTGTACTATTAACTGAATTGAAAACTTAAGGACAAAAAAAAAGGGCAAAAAAATTGATGCCAAATCTGTTAAAGTAAGAGCAGGAATGAAGAGAAGGATACCTCTAGCATACCTCTCCAGCACTCCTTTTGCTTCATTCCTGCTGCCTCTGGAATCTCCTTGTGAATTCTCTCTTTAACAAAGATGCTTCCTATGATTTTAAAATGGCCCACCTACCTTTACATGTTACCATGTAAAGATTTCAGGAAGTTTTAGCCATCTGAAATCTCTTGCAATTGTCGTTTGATGGGTTCTCAACTAGAATTCCTTCCTTTTGTGTGCCAGCAACCTGTGTGATGCAGTGAAAGCCATATTTAAATTTAAATTAGGAGTAATCTGGGGGGATGTCTCTGACCTGTCCATCTCATCAATACTATGTTCTGTATGTCTGTGTTACCTTACAGTTGAACCAATGATCAAAGCTCATCCCCACTTTTATTTCTTCCTGAAACATTAAATTCCCTGACTTTTATCCAAACAGGAGGCATGTCCTGAGAAACCCCGAGGACATCAGGCTCCTGGGAGTTCAGTAAGTACAGTAATTACTTCAAGGTGCATTTTCAAATGCTATACTAATTTTTCATCATTAGTGCTCCCATTTTAAAAGCTGTCAGGCTATTCCCGTATAAAAAAAATATTTCCTACACATCTCGATGCATATCTAAATTCTTGTTGATATGATGGAACTTTGTCATTTCTAATGTATGTGTCCCCCTTAATTAGTGTACTCAGATTCTAATAGAACTCATTCTGATTAGTATTCAGATTTGGGATTGTCCCATGACTTGTTCTATACCACTGTTACTGGTGATCATATAATATAGATATTATCTATAATATAGATTATCAATCTATATAGCACTTGAATCTCAGGGACATCAGCCTTACTGGTGCCTGAAACTTCAGTGGGAAATAGTCCTCAATTCTCCCTTTGAGATTAGTGGAAATGGTTAATATGCTGCTTGCTGGACTCTCTGAATGGAACACAGCACAGCTAAACTGGGGCCATGAAAAAAGAAGTGGTGGATGCTTCCAAGTGCTTGGCTATAGAACGAGTCAGGTTTTGCAAAATTTTTTGCTGTCAAATCTTTTTTTGTAGATCCTTCTGTCACTCTGTAAAACTCACTCATTTGCTAAGGGTGACGCCACCATGACTCAATAAAATGCTCCAGGCTCCCTGAGCAGACCACTAAGACTTTACACGCTGCCTTCCATGAACCAGACTTACACCCTAACTATGTCACAGGAGTATGAACCAGTCTAATTCCTAAATGTTAGTGCTCAGTAGTAGTAAGATCAGGATCTGATGGTTGTAAGGCTACTTCTGACCTCCGGTCCCACCACCCCATTATTCTGCTTGCCTTTGGGTGGCCAAGGCCTCAGACTAGGCCTCAGAGTAGTTCTTATACTCCTTAGAACTAGGAGTTCATGATAACTTCACTGGGATCAAGATCAGCTTCTGCACAGCAAATAATAAAACATTCTGCAACTATTGCAAGGTACTCGTGTAATGGGAGCAGGATGGGCTGTGATCTCCTTTCTCTAGGGAGTTCTGCACAGTCCCTTTTACTGGAATAGGAGACAGATTCAACCTGACTGAGTCATTAAATGGAATTATAAGACAGTGAACATTAGCCACTTAGCTCATTTCATAAATCCCAATAATTAAAACTGCATGGGCAATAATAATGGCTATTCCAGATATCTAACTAAGAAAAATGCACCTTTGATGCATTGTGGCACAGGCATGGTGAAAACACTGAGTTAATGGAGGATCTATGTAATAAGTTACCATACAGAACCTGCAGTTGGAAATATATAAACACACTTCCCAACAGAATTTCACTGTGTCACAATTGATTAAGAAAATCAGCAATAACTGACAAGATAGGCACAAAATGGATTTTCATGTTGCTGGGATGAAGTATGGCTCCCAGCAATTAATGGTTTTAGTCATATTAAGAAGATAAATAATGCTATCTGACATTTCAGTATTTCACATTACACTAAAATTTTGTAACGTTTGCTCATAATATGAGTTGAAATATGTTACCTAGGAAAAAAAATGTTATCTCTGGAACAGTCAAACCCCATTAGAAACCTTAGGCTTGAAAAATCACAATGTTAACAGTTATATCCCCTAGCAAAGGTTTGCTTTCCTTAAATAGTGTTAAATTCAAACCCAGAAGCTCTAGTCTCTTTTGGAGTTACTCTTCCATAGTGCATTCAGCTTGAAAGGGAAATTTAGAGCATGGAATGTACTGTGCCATTACTGAATGTTGGTAAGAGAAACATCATGGAGAACTGCAGAAAGAGGGGAGATTTTAAAATGAAATCACATCAGGGATGCTTATGTTCTCTAAAACTGCTTCTACACTCTGCTTTATTAAAAAAAGCTCCTAATCTTAATATGACCCTATAACCCACTATTGATAAATAATTTGATTACTTGACACCTCATTCTAATTGGCATGTTTTCCTTTTTCCTAGCTGGATGTATGCTATCTGACTACCATTCTTTTGGGAAAAAAGGAAACCTTTTTCTGGATCTCAATTTTCAGTTACTGTTTGTGTGAAAAGCTCCTGATTTCAGCATTCTTACTCATGTAAGTACAGTTTTATCCTGGAAAATACCACTGTGTTCCAAGCAGTAACAGGAATCAAGAACAAAGATGAGAACAGGATTTTTCTCTCACGTGCTGCTAATTCTGTTCCAAATTCATTTAGTAATGTGGAAGAAAATGTGATTGCTTGTCAAAGCACAGATGTGTTTTTTTGTTGGGACGGTGCACAGAGCATTCAGAAGTGTCATGTTTAGCTGAGGGCAACAATGCTTAGTGTCTCAGCACCCAACTCCCACTGAATTTCAACAAGAGTGAGCAAACAACCTTCCCCTGGGCTCCAGTGAAAATCCTTGGCTTAGTATCCAGTCTGAGCTGCAGTTTCACTCGCAGGAAACAAGCGTTTTTTTGAGGTCTTTTAAGGTATTGTTTCCTGAAACAGCAGAAGATAATTCGAGTACATAGAGAGTACTGAAAATCTGTCAGCAAAATATGTTAGTTTGATAAAGATTGTCAGGATTATTGAGTACAATAAACCTTTCTAAATCCAAGCCATAAAGAAAATATATAATCATTTACACGTGCCAAGATACAATTTTATTGCTTCCCAGATAACACTGCATTTAGGCTTTTATTTAACTTGAGGGTACTGTAAAAGCAAAACCAGTTCACTTTTATGACATTTGCCCTACCGTATGTTAGTAGGAGAGGTAGGGATTTTTCAGAGACATTGCTGGCAATGTCACAAGACGTGCACCCCAAAAGCTTATGGTGGTGCCAGCAAGCACATGGAATCTCTGTCAGAATCAGCAATCTACATTTAACTATCTTCAACTGCAAGATGTAAAGTATTCCAGAATGGTTCTATGACCTTATAAAAATGACACTTCACAGAGGTCACAGTTCTGCACTGTCTCCTGATGATTTTCACAAATGTGTTGAATTGCTGAAGTGTCTCACAGCCTGGGAGTCTCAAAGCTCCCCTCTGGATGGTTATGGGACCAGGGTGTGATGTTTTACACCCAACCTTCCAGGAACCTCCCAGAGAATGCTGCTGTGCAGTCCTGATCTCCCAGTGTTAGTGTCCAGAACAAATTCTAGTTACAGCTACTATGTATACTGCACTTCTTTTTGGCTTCTCTTTTTATTTAATGAGGTGATGAAGAACAGTTGGGGCTGTATATCCAGATGCTTTTGGAAATAACCATCCCAGTGCTTTGGGAACTACTGGCTTTAGAGGCTTGGTTTGTGTTTTCACATCATCTCTCTGCTACTCTGTGTTACTGTTATTGCACCTTCACAGTATCAAAAAGAAGTATTGGTTTTATTGTGCTTCTTTTAAAAACCAGTACAGTTAAAAACAACCAAACTTAGAGAAGTTGGTTATATAAAAATATACATGTAACAACTCACATTATACAGTAAAAAAGAAAGCACCTGTGTGGAAAGCTTCCCCCCTTTTTTGGAAGGAGAGCTGTCTTTAGAGTTGCTTCAGTAACATGTACTTATAGGTACAAACTCACAAACCCAGAACTTCAGCCACAAGAATCTGTCCTCTTAGTGGCAGAGGAGACAGAAGGCCCAGAGGGCTGATATGTCTCATTCTTTCTCCATCACAGAGCTGCTGCCATTCACACTGCGTGAACAAGAGCAGGGCTGGGGTAAAGTGTGAAAAGCAGGAGGTAAACTATGCTCCATGTGGCACAATTCCTCCCAGGAAGCAGCAAGGCCAAGGGCCCACAAACAGTTGTACATTACCCTGTTGTGGAACGAGCAGCTGTCAGGCTGGACTCTGCATCCCTGGCTGGGAATGCCAGGGCCAGGGACAAGACCACCTGTGCATTTGCACATGGAAGCAGGAGCCAGGGGGCTGCTGGACACTCCTGCAGCAGCACTGACCCAACCGGCACACAGAAACTGTGTGGAGACAAAGCTGGTATCAAACTCTTCTCTGGGTAGGAAGGAGGCTCAAAGGGTTACCTCTAAACCATTACATGCTATTAGAAAAGACAACTAAATAACTTAAGTCTGTTTAAACATTAGGGTTCTAATCCTAGGTGCATTTCACTATGGTAAAAGTGGGTATTTGAAGAAAATACTTGGCTATTAAAGATCTTTGCAATGTTTTTAGAAGTGCTTTTTCCATGTCAGGCTCTAACCTATTCACAAAAGTAACCTTCTTAATTTTTTCAAAAATAAAACTGTAGTAACTATATACTGTATTTAACCATGTGAAAGGAGTAAAAAGCTATTTCTATGTGGTTTCTGAGGTAATAAGCTGGCATGTTACAAATAATATTAATGCAAGTCATTCAGTTGTGAGTGTCCCTTGCCCATCTTCCCTCCAGGAGGGGAGGGACATGGTGATTTCAGTGAAGTGGAGAAAAGATGTGTGGCACACTGCATCATAGCTCATCATGGTTTCTCGTGAGGTCCTCCCCATAATTAGTAGCTTGACTTCCAACAAACATATTCCAGTTGTCTAGAACTTCCTCTTTTGTTAGTTTTTGGTCCTGGTAGAAGAAAAAAATAAAAACCTCTGTAAGAATATTTTCAGAACTGAGTCAAAGACACACCAGCACAGACTTGCAAGAGCCCTGGGAAACAGACAGCTCTTCACAGCAGTCATTTGTAGCTGTCACAGTGGGTGAAATTTGGACCTCAGTGAAAGACAGAAGTCCCACAGGCTTCAGGTAGGTCAAACTGCTAACTGAAAGTCCTCTGTAATGCTAAGCAGTAGGGAACAGTAGGTTAACAGTAGGTTAACAGTGGATTACCTGGTACACAGTTTTGCCCTGTGGTTTGGTTCATCTTCCTGACTGTAAAAACAAAAATCCTCTGGTGCACTTTGTGGGAGGTGGTTGCTTATGTTAGCAACATAAGCTTTCTGTGTTCAGAGTATTTTGGCTTTCAGGTTCCAACTTTGCTTGCATGACCCTTTTGAAGATAATCTGGAATATACTGTCCCTCATCAGAGCCAGTGTTTAAGTGAAAGGTGTGTGCTTGAATATAGAACTGAGAGTGGTTTTGCTACCCCTACATTTGAGTACAAGGGGTATCTAAATGTAACTTTACTTTCCTATTTTAGTCTATATTAACATGCAAAAGTAATGACCACTCTTAAAGGAAAAAAAGAGTATTTTTGCTGTGTTGAAATGTCCAGGTTTAAGTTTCTCATCAAACCTAATGAAAGCCAGGAGACCCCCAGAGCTGATAAACTGTATTTTAATACTTTGTAACTCTAACACTGTCAGCTGACACGGGCATGGAAACATTAATCCACCGGCAATTCTAGCCTCTGAAGAAAAGTTATTAGAAATAAATTCTTGCAAGCTGGTATTTTAAAAAACCAACAAGACCTTGTATAACTTCTTTAAAAGCATTACTGGAACACTACATACCTTGTCTACATCAGATTCATAGACTAAGTGCCTGGCTTCAGCTAGTGCATGGTCATAGTCCTGGGGGAGGATCCAGTGCTGGATCTCATCTTTGTCCATCTTTCCATCCTTGTTGAGATCACGAAAATCTGAGAACTGCTCACGCTCTGTAATCACCCAGTCGGGCTCTGGTCCACCCTCTTCATTTGCAAACATATCAGCTGGAGAGGAAATAAAGGTCTTACTTGAGTCCTATTTACTTTGCAAATTAAGCACAAACTGAAGATATTTTCACAGTGCTCAGCAGAGGGGACTGAACTTTTCACTCTTTGCACAGTGTCTCTGTACAGAAAAAGAAATGTGGGGTGTAGATAGAGTAGCTGTATCTTCTCTCAGGCCTATTTCTTCACTGCTGGTGATTGTGCCCATTCTCACAGCACCCCCTATCATACCTGTGCACTTCTGGTGGGGCTAACAGGAAAGCTCAAAGGCATCATCTGAATTTCAGAATCAACAAAATTCTCTAAGGATCTTTGGTTGAACAGCAGTCTTAAGCTTTAGTGCTAGGCTTAGTCACATGGGGAGAAAAGAACTCAGCCATTTTATCTTGTCCCTGCCAGCAAATGTCTTTGAGGATAAGATCAGACTCCAGCCAGCAGAGTGATTACAGGAAAAAAGGCACAGGGGAATTTAGGCAAACAAAAATTGCTAAATGGAACTTTTCATGCATTTGTACTGCTTTTAGAGAAGTCTGTGTGAGAGACATTCAGCTTAGCAGATCAGTTCTCTTTTAACCATGCAGTGCTGCAGCACATTCCAGCAGAAGACACTCTTCCAGGGAGACAGAGCTGGAGAAGTCACGAGTCATGGTGCATTGTGTGAGGAGCCACAGGCACAGTGCACTTGTCACACACTGGTACCTGGGGAGGGAGCACTGTTTGTGACAGGCTGCAGAGATTACAGACACGAGCTGCTCTGCACATCACTTCTGTGCTACATTTTGGGAGCATTGGTAGGACCAGACCACAGTGGCAGCTGCTTTCTGCATAAACACAGGAGAGCAGCAGTGATTATTAAAACCAGCTGACTTCTAAATGTGCTTTACATCACAGGCCTTTCCAAATAATGAGTGGTGTGTCTGTGTCATTCTTCTGGTCACTGTGGCCAATTCTTTCCAACTCATCTTATTCCTCAAGCCTTCCACTTTTCTATTTAGAATTAAAGCCTGCCTACTCCTCTCCTCTCCTCTCTCTTTGGCGAGTCATGGTGCATTGTGTGAGGAGCCACAGGCACAGTGCACTTGTCACACACTGGTACCTGGGGAGGGAGCACTGTTTGTGACAGGCTGCAGAGATTACACACATGAGCTTCTCTGCACATCACTTCTGTGCTACATTTTGGGAGCATTGGTAGGACCAGACCACAGTGGCAGCTGCTTTCTGCATAAACACAGGAGAGCAGCAGTGATTATTAAAACCAGCTGACTTCTAAATGTGCTTTACATCACAGGCCTTTCCAAATAATGAGTGGTGTGTCTGTGTCATTCTTCTGGTCACTGTGGCCAATTCTTTCCAACTCATCTTATTCCTCAAGCCTTCCACTTTTCTATTTAGAATTAAAGCCTGCTTTGTGATACTACTCCTCTCCTCTCCCCTCTCTTTGGTTTTCAGGGATGTTCTAAGGAAAAGTGTACCCACGTGGATGGTGTGAGGGTCAGAGCTGGCTGGTATCTGTGGGAACCATAAATGCTGAATTCAAAGGCAGGAGTAACTCCCCTGACCCTGCAGTGTGAGTGTGTACACTGGGCTGAGGTTCTCCATTGTTGCTGTCCCCAGTGTCCCTGAAATACTCTGTTACCTGCCCATGCACAGTGACAGTTTAGCTCTCTCTGCTCAACATTGTTATAGGCACTTTGCTCTGCTGCTTGCGTAAATCTAAACCAAATTTTGCAAAAAACAAAACGGGAGGAAAAAAGGGAAAGGAGGGTGGGATCATTCTATAAGCTTCAGCAAATCTCCCCAACAAATATTCCATCTAGAAAATGAAATTTTTGGACTTGTTTTTGTTGCTCCTTATAAACTACCAAAGAAGAGATTTAGTTTTCTGTTAGCTTCTTAATCCCAACTTCATCAAAATTTCAAAAAATTACATCTGAAAAAGGAAAGTAGGAATATTTTAAGCATAGTTTTCTCAACTCAGGAAGATAACTTCAGACAACACATTCACTTTCTTTTTTCATTTTTTAAAGTGCAAATTATATTGTTTATTTGAAGCAACTGACATGTCCTGTCAATTTGATTTTTATCATCCTTGCCAATGTGGGGTGATCGTGACTAGAACATTCTATGTTCCTATCTATAGAAGACAAGAAAAACCAGCATTCACATGGTAACAAATGTTGACAATTACCTTATAATTATATGTAGGTAATGTCACTGAATGAACTGAAATTACTGTGGAAATTATGCTGCTCTGTTATTTCAGTCATAGATGAATAGCATTCACTTTCTGGGCTAAATATAATTTACAAGGAACAGAACCCCCTGCCATTAATTAGCGTGTGTATATTGTTCCTGATTCTATGTGAAGTGATCTTTATAGCACCACTAGAAACAGAAAGCTTCATCCAACTTTGCACTAATGCCTTCTTAGTGCTACTTTCTGGATTTAAAACTCATCAAAATATAATGGTATCATCAGCACAAAAGTATGGGCTTTACTTACTAATTAAACTAGGGAAAAAAACCTAGTAGGAACAAGGTGAACTTTCTCTTTTTGCAATGGTTGCTTCCCAGTGTTTTGGATATTTGAGAACCATCCAAACCATCCAAAACCATTTATTTGGGAAAAGACTAATTCATTTTCTGACCCTCCTGCATTTCTAAACAATGCCTTCAAACAGCAGTTGATATGGTGCAATATACATGGAATACCCCTGCCATGAAGAATATTATTCCAGATTCTCTTCTTTTGTTCTCATAAACTCTTAGCTGAGTTAAATAAGAACAAGAGGAGAATTTTGTGCTGTGAAGCATGCGGAAGTCTTCCTGGTCATGTTGCTATCTGCCTAAAATGAAACTAAACTTTCTGGGTTGGATGGTTGGTATAAAACAGTTGAACTGTTTGCTCTGGGTGGTTAATGCTGCTGCAAATTTGAGAGAAGATGGAAAAATGGACTGGAGATTATATAAGAAACAAGTAACAACACTTACCAATGTACTCATCTTGATCCACAAAACCATCCTCGTTTTTGTCTATGTCTTCTAAGGTTTCCTGGAAAACAATTTTGCATGAAAGTAATCAAAAAAAACCCTGAGAGCTCTGACTACCTGCCTTTGATAATTCAGTGTTCTGAGGCCTTGACCTGCCCCTGTGTACAAGTGAATGTAGTCTCACTGAATCCAGTGGGACTGTTGTTTACACAATGAATATACAAATATCCTTTCATGTTGAAAAAAAATCCCCTGTATGAATGAACTGCTTATGTTAGGGGCAGATACCAGCTTGCATGAAACACTCAGCTGCTGCATGTCAGCACACCCTCCTTTTATTTTGGTTTAAATCTGTGCCCCAAGATTGTTTCTTGATTCCCTTTAGGAGTTGTCTAAGCGCACTTAAAAGGTCTTTGTTATGCTGAGACTTCTAAACCAAGTGAGTATCATGAAAGGCACCCCCTTCTGTTCCCCATTTAGCTATTATGTGTGTCTCTCTCTCTAAACCCTTCCTGGAAAGGTGAGAGAAGCCTTCAAAGTTCAACCATGAAAGTAGAAACAATGGCATTGATTCTGCTTTGCTTACTAGGACAACAATGTTTTTCATGTGCTCAAACTCCTCTGGGTGCAGGAAAGCAGTGAACTCCTCACGAGTGGCAGCCAAGTCTCCATCCAGATCTGCAGTTTTGAATCGTCTTTCATCTCTGGGCAGCATTTTCTTAAAACTGTGCTGATCCGTTGCATCTTGGAATTCTTCTGGATTTTCTGCAAACGAATCAAGATGATCTCAGAGGTGTTTTCCTTTAAAACATACTAGCAAAACAAAGCAGTTTGGTCTAGAAATAAAAAGGTTTATTGCCAGAACAGCTGTTGTTCTAAATGGAAATTCTCTTCCCCATGACGTTTTAAATTCAGGGGTCAAACACTTGGTTTGATTTTTAAAGGTGACAGTAGTAGGAGGTAAATTTCGGAGCAAGCCTTCTGTTGCAATCCAGAATAATAGATTTTGCAGTATTGTAGATTATCCCTCACAGATTGTTTTTATCTGCCTTTACAAGCACCACTGAGACAATATTTGGGGTAGACTTCATTCACAGAAGTTTTCTTCTTCTTTAGGAATCAATATGATCCACACAACTTTTCAGTTTCAAGAAGAGCCAACCAAGGAAACATGGTTTCAGAAGGTGGCAGACTGACTGAAATTATCTCAGCGCTACGCCTCTGCTACAGGGAACCTAACAATTATTTTCAGTTTGAAACAATGGCATTTTTTCAGAGTGTTCAGTGGCATAAAAGGAATGGTATTTGATATCATTTTTTTAATAGGATCATTAAACTGACTTTAAAAATGAAAAATACTCATATTCATGTGTTGAGAGACAAACACAGGTGAAAAAGACTGGGCCAGGAATTACAAATGGGAATTTTAAGTATCCATTGACACAAGCCCACCATGCTGCTCTCCAAATCTTGGGGCTTGGAGGGAGCAAAGACAAAGGACTGAGAAGGGTTCCAGGGATAATTCTGCAGGGACTGCGTGACAAATATTTCCTTTCACAAATGTAACAAACTCCATTTAAATCTAAGGTAGACTTTGGAATTATTACTGCTACAGGAAGCTTGCTCTAGAGACTGCCTCTGTGGTAGGTAAATATTGTTTTCTCATTTCCAGTAAGTATAAATGGTCAATTAATACTGATTTGTTGCTCTGTCAGCATTGCCCTTTAGCTTAAGTGATCTCTTCTCCTCATCTTCCTTCATTAACTTATAAAAGCAAAGGGAACATAGAGGGGGGTGGGAGGAATTCAGGTATATTTTTTAATAAATGTTTCTTTTGCCTGATTTGTTAAGGATTTTCATTTGCTGTTGATCACAGTCTGAAGCGTGTTATTCTGCAAGAATGATTTTAATCAATAACTTTGCTATAGCTTAGACACAGACTAAATTTTTAACATCTAGACTTAGGATTTTAGAAACTAAATTCACAAATACAGTTAATTAGACAATATATTATTTTTTAATTAAAGTACCCTTTTCAATGTTAAAAAATAATGTATTTCTAACTGGATGAGGCTTTAATTCAGCTGTGTCAGTATATTTAATGATACCTCTTCAAAACCTTCTGTGTGCTGGTGACCCATGTGCAAAGGGCTGCAATAAATAACTAAAAAGTGCTTTTGACCTCTGAGCATCTATAAAATTTAATGTGAGCTTCAAGAGTCCTAAATGTGACAACAACCTCCAGCTGACTGCAAGGCAAGAAATCATATTTTATTATCTCAAAAATCCTTGTTCATACAATCTGTTCTCTTACCTAGATAATAACCATATGTGGCTTGTTTGTATTCTTCCCAGGCAATTTTATCATCCTTGTTTAGATCATAGTCTTTCCAAACTTTGGCCACATTTTCATAGATGTAACGTTTCTGTACTCGTTTAATCCAGGTTTTTAATTCCTCTGTTGTGATATAGCCGTCTTTGTCATCATCTATTCTATCCACAATCTTCCTGTAAAAAGAGATCAGCACCTTTAGGAGCTGGCAGAAAACCAAACTGCATGTCAGGCCAATTTTAATAATCTCTATCTGGCCCTTGATTTTCCACAAAAATGGAGTGCCCCAAACCCCTAAAGCTGTCCTACTGTTTAAGGCTTTCCTGCATTTTACACATCATCTTGAGGAATGTGTCTCTATTTGTTATTCAGCATTGCTATGAATAACTAAAAGGGAACTTGCACGACCAAAATTAGTGAGCAGAGAATACCTGGCTTTCTTTTTCTCAGGCTGTGCCTCCTGTCTTAGGGGCATCTGTTCTTCACTGCCTACAGGGAGTGGCCATGCTGCTCAGAGCAGGAGACAGCAACTTCACTTCAGGACAAAGCCTGTACTCAAACTTGCCGGGGCAAGCAGGGCAAAAGTCCAGGACTTGGTGGACACCTGCAGTCTCTCCTTTGGCTTTCCAGCAGGCTGACACCAGGGTGAAGTGAGTATATGAGTGTGTAATGCTGGGGATGTACACCAGGTACCATCTCCCCTTCCATGCCTGTCCCTCCACTTGTTTCTTTCCTTTCATTCCCAGTGGAAACCAGTATTGCTGGTGTTGCCAGGAATGCCTGTTATTCAATAAAGCAGTATCAAGTCTACAGCAGGTCTCCAGCCATTGCTGGCAGCTGGGCTATAAACCTCTGTCCAGTGTAAAGTTGCCAGCACTGTTGGAATCAGCAGGAGTGAAACATTCTGCACACAGCTGCAGTTCAAAAAAAAAAAAAAAGGACAATGCTCTCTCTACCATTTATGTTCTCTGCAACTAATCTCTCTGCAATTGATAAACTCCACCATTTTGGGGCTGATCTTGTAAAACTGCCTTCTGTGCCTGCTCTTGGAATTGAGCACATCCACCTTGGCTCTCTGGCACATCCAGACTGGCTCTGGGCACATCAGCATCCTTCACCCTGCCCAAGAGGTGCAGGGGCAGCCTGCCTGCAGTCCCCTGTGCCTCATCCAGTGGCCAGCTCATGCCATGCCTATGGACGTGCCATTGGAATGCAGGGGGAAGAGCAGGAGCTGACTTGTCTAAATCCTGACTTGACACTCAACAGGTGAGCTCCCTAAACCTCAGGGGAAAAGATCTGCACTTCTAAACATTCTTTTCAATTCCACATCTTGGTTCTTCACAAAGAAGCCACATTTGGCCAACTGGAACTGCCCAAGTAGTGAAGCAATGTCTCTGCCCAAGCCTTTGTTACAAAAGTGGATGCTGAAATAGCAGCAGCAGCTTCTGCTAAACTTCCAGCAATCTTGTGTGAGTCTGATAGTATCAGACTGAATTTATGAACATGCTGTTTCTGAGTTATGGGGTAAAAAAAGGGCTGCTGAATTTCCTTTCTGAATTAGTGAAGTGTGGATTAACTGACTAGAAAACCTTTTCTCTTCTGTATCCATTGGTTGCCAGTGGTCTCTTTCCCTGCATGATGGACTCTATTTGTCACCAGATTTTCCCCACAATGAATTTAATTTCATTTGTTTAACTGGTGGTTTTTTTCTACCATTAAGGTATTAAAAGATTACGCTGGTCGCTCTTGGCAATGTGCAACGTGAAAGAAGTCAGGACTGTGTAAGAGAAAATGTTTCATGCCTTCTCCTTTTCACCTGTTTTTATAGGTCCATGTGCACTATTCCACCCCACTTCCAGGTGAAGATGAGAACAATAAAACAGTCTTGTCTACAGGCTCCCAAAGGCACAGGTAAAAAGCTGTTTTGTGGACTGTGGACCTGACTTTTTACTGTTATTATTGGGATGACCAATGTGCTGCCACGTTTCCTAAGCAAGGTAAAATGCCTTACAAATAGAGCAGCATGCACTCTAGTTAGAGCAGCAGACTGTGTGTTTGTTTTCTCCCAGTAATCATTTAAAAATCACTTTTAAGAAGCATATGACTATTAAGGCACAAGATGGTTTTTTAATCCTCTCTTTTACCTCCCAGTGTGCTGCTATCCAAAATTACAAGGTCGGGGAATGCTGGAAGTCATGAAACTTTCCCAAAGGCCCCCCAGGAGCCACATCTCTGATGCCGAGATGCACAGTGCTCACCTCACAATGTGTCCTCAGAGGGCCACTTCAGTCACCTCCATTTAAAAGGTAATGATTGACTGTGGCTGTACTTTAATGTGCCTGTGTCACCCCTCCAAAGGGCAATCAGCGAGATCAATGAAGTTAAAACTTCTTCCCTTGCTGAGTTAGCATTTGTAAAAATTGCTTAAAAACACCTGTATTGTTAAATCATATCCCTGACTGAATTATCTGTGCTAGTAAGTGCAGACCAATATTAGGAGGGCATGTCCATTTTGGTGACACAACTCATGAGAATCTAGGTCATAGTCATCTATGCTGAGAAAACATGGTTTCTTTTGCTCCTTCTTGAAACAATGAGGATGGAGTCGAGCATTTCTGGTAATCACTTCATCTGTTTACTCACTGAGACACGCAGTGACAGCTTTGAGAAGGATCTAGAGGTTACTCAGTGAGGTTGCAGTGCTACTGCTTATGGTAGGACTAGACAGAAAATTAGCAACTGCCACTCCCTGTGGAAGGGAAGGCAGGGGGGGAAATCTTAGTGATTCGTGCAGATATTTTAAACAATCTTCTTCGTGGTAACTACATTAAAGGATCTTTCTTTAACTCCTATTAAATTTAGTTCTGCTTAGTGATCTGGCTCCCTGTCGGTGTAAAGGAGGAAGAAGCAGTAAAGGAAGGCATGGTCCCTGCTCTTTGCATAAAGAGCAGTGTGGAAGTAATAGCAACTGAAACACTGTGAGTGAAGAAGTCACAAGTGGGAAGATGCTTGAAGTGGACTTGTAAACGTAGCTGTAGAGAAGAAATGTTTAAACTCGATTGACACTGATAAGGTGTGAGCAAGTGTCCCAGAGGCAGGGAGCCACAGCAGCAAAGCCCTCCAGCAGCAGGTCCACCACCCGGTACAGCAGCTCCCTCTGCGAGCCTCATTGCTGTGGGGCCAGAAAAAGGCAGGAGGGAAAAACACCAAAGCATGAATTGTTCGCTGCTCCTTTGCAAAACCAGAGGGGTGCGAGAGAAGTTGAAACCCCCAGGTTCAACCCACAGGCTACTTTGGGCTACAGGGTCTCACAGTGGGGTTCAGGGCACTACTATGGGGTACAGGGCATCACAGTGGGGTTCAGGGCACCACTTTGGGGTACAGGGTCCCACACTAGGGCTCAGAGCACTACTATGGAGAACATGGTTCCACTGTGGCGTACAGGGCATCACACTGTTCTTCACTGCCTACAGGGAGGGGCCGTGCTGAACATTGCAGTTCAGGGCACCACTCTGGGGCACAGGGTCCCACACTGGGGTTCAGGGCACCACTCTGGGGCACAGGGTCCCACACTGGGGTTCAGGGCACCACGGTTGACCTTTGAGTTCAGGGCACCACTCTGGGGCACAGGGTCCCACACTGGGGTTCAGGGCACCACTCTGGGGCACAGGGTCCCACACTGGGGTTCAGGGCACCACTCTGGGGCACAGGGTCCCACAGTGGGGTTCAGGGCCCCGCGGCCCCCTCGGACACTCAGGCCGCCTCCTCCGCCCCGGGCCCACCTCGGGCCCTCCCCCTGCCACGTCTCCCGCCCGGGCCGGGCGCTCACCCCAGGCGCTCCCGGCTCTCCTCCGGGCTGAGCTGGTCGAAGCTCCGCGCCTCCTCCTTGCCCAGGAAGGCCTCGTGGTCGTACTGGAAGCCGGGCCGGTCCTCGTGCTGCGCGGCTGCGGGCCGGGCCCGCTCCTGCCTCGCCGTGGGCTTGCCCAGCGCGCCCGCCGCCAGCAGCAGCAGCAGCAGCAGCGCGGGCAGCGCCTTCAGCGCCCCGCC